TCTAATCTTCCAACTAATATAATCCAACTCTCTATCTTTCATTATTAGCAAATGTATCCCAAATCTAAACTTATATCCAACTTACATATCCAAAAATTGTAGATCGTAAATTAATTTAATCATTTGGTCAATTGAAGTCCTAACAAAATAATCGACCACATTCAATTTCAAACTTGACTTAAGTTTCGACTAACTAATAATCACTTCATGTATACGCAACATTTAACACCTCATGCTTGTAGTCATTAGCTATCTCTAACATTAACCACTACAAAGGTGGTGTCCCCTTTTCTTATGGCCAAAAATAGTATTGAAAGTTAAATCGCCATCTTAAAGAAATTTAAATCAGCATAAAATTTCGGAGTATTACAAATGTAGATTGTGAGGAATATGGGTATTGTTAAAAAAAAAAAAAAAAAAATCTCCGATCCAATCTAAATGTGACTCAATCATGCTAAATTGAAAAAGAAACAATAGACCATGCCCATTATTTGGTTAAGCTAAAAAAAATTAATCAAAATCTAAATCAAAATCAACAATTAAGTGCTTGTTTGGTAAAGATTTTGATAATTAATTTTTTGACCGTTACAGAAAAAGTAGGTCATACATGTGAGAGAAGAATTCAAAAATGACCGCTGTAATAGTGAAATAACGGTCAAAAAATTAGTTTTAATTGAATTAATACCAAACAAGCTCTAAGTTTAATTACATATGTTTCATGGGAGTCCGGACTCACAACTTTTAAATCATATATTTTATTAATTTGTATAAAAATCTAATAAAATTCAAAATAATAATAATAATAAAACGAAATAGCGGCCCTTAGAAAAGCTTGTTTTCATGTGGATATTTAGTTAGACAAAGTCAACAAAACTGATGTTCTATGAATTTATTTGAAAAGAAAAAAGGAAGGACACTATCCGTTGGATAAACAAATTAATGTTAAAAATTGCTCTGTTGCTCTGCTCCGTCTAGAATATCCGCCAAATGTTACACTTAGTTTTCATTTTTCGATATGTAAATACTACAAAATCCTTGTCATCCTACAACAAAAAAGGCCTTTTGTGTTGCAAAAGGCAACATTCATCAATTACATGTTGTTAAAAGTGGTCTATGGCAACATTCACCAATGTTGTTTATATCTCTTATTTGCTAGTGAATATATTCTTATTTTAAGATCATGATGTGAAAAGCATAAGTTCTGACGCTCTTATTGTAGTATGGAAGCAAAATGTATAATAATCCTCAATGAGATCTGGACTTTATCTTTTCCTTTACTTCGATAGAGAGGAAATGAGGATCAACAGTTGAATTGGGCTTTATAATGATAGGAGACTGAGTTGTAAGGGCAGTTCAAATTATGTATAATCCTTCAGGGCTTTAGGTAAAGTTTTCTTTTTGAATGTTGGCTGAGGGCCTAAAACAAATTGTCGATTGTTGTTGGTTCTTTCTTTGAAGTTCTATTGGTTGGGAAATTTCTCAATGCTCTGAGACGTCTAAGTTTTTGCAAAATATGATCTCTATTTGTGTATATGATTCATATTTGAAAAAAAAAAAAGGTTTATAGCCTTTCGATCATTCAGGTCAAGTTGAGTTTGTATGATCAGTAATGTTGTTTTCTGTTATGTATAGTTTTACTTTTGTCATAGTAAAGCCAAAAATTTAAGAAATGCGTATAAACTTACTTGATGGCATAGAGAATGTACTTGATTAGGGTTGTATTTGAATATATTTTCATATAGTATGTAATTTTTGCATACTGGATTATTGCTTATTGTTTTTATACTTTTGAGTGATTTTGGACTAGAAAAAGCACTTATATGAACATACAAGTTTGATTGACCCGAAAAATATTTGCATTCTCCATGTTATAGAAGCATATTTGATCAAAGATGATGAACAACAACAAATATTCTCCATGTTATAGAAGCATATTTGATCAAAGATGATGAACAACAACAAATATTGTACTGCATTGTTTCATTATATTTGAAGAACAAGCTCTCATGCAAATTTTTTCTTTTTTTTTTTTTTTATCAATAAATGTAAATTTTCATTGATCAAATTTTTCATGTACAAGTACACCGGACATACCCGGACAAACAAAAGTCAATATCGCATACAATTACTCCGGGCATGCCCGAGAGATACAAAATAAGTGAAGTGCGTAAAAATCAATGACCCAACACTAAGGACTCGAAATGAATCAAGACATCCGGATACAAAGAGAACATAACTTTGCATACGTGTGTCTTAATCCGTCACACAATGCAATCCAAGCTAGGTGAAAGATTTTCAAAAATCTTCCTATTACGTGTTAACCAAATGTAGTAGATAGTACTTACAAGTGCAATCCTCATTGCCTTGTTAAGCCAAGATGTTCCACGAGCCTCTTTTTTCAATCACTTTAGAGCGCTAGCAATTGTTGACATAGATCTTTTGATGCCGAGTCATTGTCTAATATTCTCCCCATAAGGACGATGTGAAAGAACATTCAAAGAATAGATGACAGCCCGTTTTCACCATATGCCCCACAAAAAACACATTTGCGATCAAGATCCAAAAATTGCAATTTGTCTTTTTTTAGGAGTTTAGATTGAACCCCTAACCAAAGCAAAAAGGAGTGCCTTGGAGTAATGCAAGATTTCCAGACATCACCCGTCCAAACCTTCCTTGAACCTTTAGGCCTGAAGAATTCATAGGCAGCTTTTGTGCAGAATTTATCTCCAGTCGACCAGCCTTTAAATCTGTCCAGAATTTCCTGTTTTCGATCACTGTTTTGTGCAGTTACTGCCCGCTGACTTGTGGGTAATCCTGCAGCCACAAATAGGTTAATTACTCCCCCCACCTGATCTGAAATTGCGGCCTGTCCATGAGAAAAAATCTGGGAGACAGCAACATTTTCTATCAAATTCTCTCTGATTTCCAGCAGTTTTTTGAAAAGTAGAGAGTGATCTTTTCTAGGTAGAATATCCCAAATGCAAGTCCCTTTAAGATAAACTTGGTGCGTCCAATGTATCCAAAGCATGTCCTTTTTATGTTGAATATTCCAAAGAGATTTAGCTAGTAAAGCTAAATTCCAACTCTTCATGTCTTTCAAACCAAGACCCCCTTCCTCTTTCGGTAAGTAAATGTTTTTCCAAGCAACCAAAGGTTTTTTGGAGCCCCAAAGAAATTTCGGGCAAAGACTAATAATTCTTGAAGTAATTATAGTCAAGATAGGAAAAATAGAAAGCCAAAAGCATTCAACATCTTGTAGCACCGCCCTAATAAGTTCCACCTTACCGGCATAAGATAAGGATGAGCAATTCCAAGCTTCAATAGAAGCAACAATTTTATCAAGGAATGGAGCATAACAACTCACTTTGAGCTTCTCTGAAGCAAGAGGAATACCCAAGTAACGGAAAAGCATAGTACCCTTCCGGAAATTTGTGAGTTCAATGATATTATCAAGCTCATGCCCATAAATACCAGCTGTTTACAAGCTGGATTTTAAAGTGTTGGTTTTCAAACCTTACACAAAACCAAAGTTAGCAAGGCAATCCATAAGAATTTGCACCGACATAACATCTCCCCTTGCAAAGAGCATCAAGTCATCTGCAAAAGCTAAGTGGGTTATCTTTAAGGGGGCCACATTTGGGGTAATAATTGAATTCACTATCACTTGTAGCAACCTTAATGATTCTAGAAAAAATTCTAGACAAACACGCGAACAAAAAGGGAATAGTGGATCACCTTGCCAAAGACTTTTCCCACCTTTCAAGAAGATATGTATACTCCCATTCAAAGTTACAAAATATGTTGGACAGGTAACACATTCCATCACCCACTGTATAAATCTCGAAGGAAAATGCTGTTGGGAATCTACTTATACATGCACAGCGGAAAATTAAAATTATTTCGATTCCCACCGAGAATCCCTTTGTGTTTAGATAGAAATCGTGATAAAGATTGTACCTTTGAAGAATTCGGCAAACCTTTTACTTTTCTTTTCGTTCCAACAATCTTGAATTCGTCTCCCATAGCTGTCCAATTGTCCAGCCTTCAATGAAATCCACATAGAGAATAGATTGCAACTGCTAGAGTTTTCTCTCTTGTGCCAGCAAGAATAATGAAAATCACATGGACCTCAAACCCTAGTTATGTATTTATATAAACCCAAACGGGTTTGGCCCGGTCCGGTCCAATAGTTAATTAATCCATTTAATTAAACCCGGTCCGTGAATTAATAAATCCAATTAATTAATTCGAAAATATAAATAACAAATCCAATTAATTAATTTATCCAACGATTGTTAAATTAACAAATTGGCAATTTGCAATCTTTCAATTCTCTTTTGTGTGCGACCCATTAGGATCCCGACCACGATGTCTAACGACGTGGAATATTTTTTTGATCTAATCAAAATTGATAAATTAAAACACTCTTTTAATTTATTGTCAATTCACACTCGCCGTACATGATTGACGTCTAACAATGTGTCAGGGCAATTCATGTGACGGAAAATGTCATGTGGTGTGACAAAATCAAACTCGTTCGTTTACCGTGAAACTATAATCCCTTCATCAATATGATCCGATCAATTACGAGATAAGGAAGTGTGTCAATCTCGATCATGGATCATATCTTTCACTCCACTGTTAAGTCAATATAAGTCGAAAACTCCTTTTCGACTTATGAGTACACCTTGGCCAAGGATTTCGTTATCGACTTAATTGAATGAAATATAGATCATAATCTCCTACTATCTAAGAGTGACGAATCCTTTATTGATCAATCACAACCTTCATATGATTCTTGACATACCCGAACGATGTCGTATTAGCGGCACTTTGCAGAGCAACATCCAACACCCCCAAATTATGACTGTCCTCATATAAGGTACCATGACGACCTCAAGTCAAATGACCAATTTCACTACCGAACGTTAGAGACTAACCACTGACACTCAGATAGTTATCCGTGTGGAATCTCTCGACGGGTCTCTAATATTTTGTTTTATAACAAAAACATCCACGTGTTATTTAAGTGTCACCACATTTTAGCTTGTGAGATCAGCTACTTACTTCACAAGTAAGAAATGTCACATGTGATGGTCTATCCGTAATAACGATATCCATATCTCGTTATTACTTACGATCACGGACGATTTAAGATTCAATCAAATGTAATTTGTATCTCACAATCACAACTCCTTGTGATTAACAAATTACGAAGATTTGAATCTACGGACTCTATTATTTATTTAATTGTCTATTAATTAAATAATAGATTTGCCATTAAATCGCATTAATTATATATCAAAAATATTTATGTCCAAAGTTAATTAGACCTAGGGTATAATACTTACAAACTCCCACTTGCACTAGATTCAATCACTTATGTATCCAATATTATAAGTTTACATGACGATCATGTTTATGCTACGACAACTCTTTGTCAGTGGATCTACAATATTGTTAAATGTGGAAATTTGTTCTTTTCTTTACTTTACGTCATTTTTATGTATTATTTCTCTGATGAGATTATACCGCCTTAATACATGTTTGGGTCATTGATAAGACCTTAGTTCCTTTACTTTCGCAATGGCTCTATTGTTATCAAAATACAATGGCATGTGATCAACAATATCAAGAGCTACTCCAAGTTCATTTATGAATATCATGATCTAGATTGCAACTCCTTGCTACTTCTAAAGTAATCATGTATTAGGTTTCTACTATTGAATCAACAGTTGCTTCACGTTCGGAACCTTTCCAACATACCGTTTAAGAATAAACTAATTTCTCCATATAAAATCCTATCAATATTTTATATAGATTGGGACGAGATAAGCAACCTTCTAGGTCTATCTCTATAGATCAAGTTGCTTCTCCCATATCGTTCAAGAATAAATCATTTAACAACCATTATTTCAATGATTGAAACATAGGGATGTCATTTTCTGTAATGTTAGCAATATGACATCGCTCCCACTATCTTCTTGTAAACACACAATTCCTCTTCAAATTTGATAAAATCAAACACTTTGACTTTTCCATCAGATCGAAGATTTCAGCTCCAAAAGACTTCTCTTAACCTATAGTCACGGTATGCAACTGTCGCAAGCGAAACCCGAATGGACTTCAGTAAGGCTATAGGATAAAGGTTTCGCCAAGGTCAAAACTTAACCTTTGCTTCTAACCCTGCTTTGTATATATGGATATTCCCATCCATATCGACATTTTCCTTGTAAACTATTTACAAAAACTTATGGTTTTATTCCATCAAGAGGCTTGACCAAGGTCCAAACTTTGTTCACATACGTCAAGTTCATCTTGAGTTTCATGGCCTCTTGCTGTCTTTTTTAAGTCAACACTTGACTTTATTTTGTTGCAACTAGCAGGTTCATTATCCTGGATCACTAATACCTGATTAATAATCATGGATTCGTACATTCTTGAAGGTCGAATGATCCTACTAGATTTACATAAAGCTGTCATGTCCTCAGGAGTCTTTACTTTCTGATCAAGAGTATGTCTCATATTAGATATGGGATCAAACTTGGATTCATCTGCTTGGTTAACTATATCTGTGGACTCTTGAACTCTTTCAAGTTCTATTTTGCTCCCATTGTCCTCCCTTAGAGTAAACATTTTCTCTAAAAGGAAGATATGTCGTGAGACGAAGACTTTCTTCATGACAATAGAATTAATATTCAAACATCTGATTTGAATATCCCCACAAATACGTATTTATCAGATTTAGTGTCAAACTTATCCGATTCAAGGCGCTTCAAATAAGCATCAAGGCCCCAAACTTTCATATAAGATAAATTGGGACTATGGCCTTTCCATAACTCGTATGGAATCTGTTAACCAATTTAGATGGGACATGATTTAGTATGTTGCACACTACAATCAATACATGACTCCAAAACAATTTTGGGAGATTTGCATGGCTTGTTATTAATCGCATTATATCAAATAATTAACGATTCCTCCTTTTAAATACACCACCTTACTGCAGTGTATATGAAGGAGACAACTGCAAGAAAATCTCATTCTCTCTTAAATAATCCAGATTTTATCTTTAAAATACTCTCACTTGATCGAATCTTAATGTGAGGGTATCTTTACCTATTTGTTTCTCTACTTTTAGTTTGAATCATTTGAACTTTTCAAAAGTTTCATGTTTGAGTTTTCATCAAGTATACATGATGATTGATGAAATAAGAGAAACATTACTGACATTGATTGACATGAATCCATATGCATCACTATGCATTAGATCAGTAATTATGCCGACCTTTCTTCTTTTCAAGTAAAAGAAGATTTGGTCACTGTGCCAGACATGCATAATTTGTATTTGTCAAAATCAATTAATCCCGAGTATACATCTTTATGTTACCTTGGAATTGCATTTCATCTATATGACAAAGTTTGTCATGCCAGATTTTGGTAATAATTAGATTATCACATTTACGCTTTATAATTTCTATACTCATTATAGAATCCTTAGTATTTAGAATATAAATGTTATTTTATAACTTACCATAACTTTTAAGATCTTAATCAAGATATGCAGGAACAACAATTGTCCTTAACATTAAAATGGTTCATGTCTGAACATGAAATTTATTTTAATATTCTAGCTATGGTTGGTATAAAGCGACATTTCTCTAATTCCAATACTAAACCAAAAGGCAATGGCAAGAAATATATTCCTACAGGCTATGCGGCAACCTTTGCTCATCTCCAACGTGTAGGTCAACTTCTCCCTTTCGCAGTGATCTACTTTTATTTAGTTTCTCCATATTTGTATAAATATGAGATTTACATTTGGTATCAAATACCTAAGAAACTCGTGAAGTAGACGTAAGTTACACAATATTCCTTCTAATGACCTTTCATTCTATAATGAAACCAAGGGTCATTAGATTTGGTATTGTCCTTCGCTTTGACGGTCTTAACCATATTGGACGCTTTCACAAAACCCCTTTAAACTTCCTCTTAATATCTTTAGAGGAATCAATGATTTGCCCACTACCAACTTTGATATTGAGCTTAATAGTCTTAAGCATGTTAAGTAACTCAATAATTGTGCATTCAAACTTATTCACATTAAATTCATAATTAGTTATGAATAGCTTTCTCTGACAGAGATTACAGAACCAAGTCACTACTTAGTTCATGGTTTATGATTAAACTCAATTGAGACATTTCTCAACGTCAATCATCTTCAGTGTCTAAGTGTCAATTGAAGATTACTCTGTCATTTTGCACCGGAATAGTTGTTCGGAAGTCTCATATCCTTCCACACATGATTATTATCATACAACTCTTTGTAATGAAGAATTATGTATTAATATATATACTCTCAAGTTGATTTTGTAACTCAGTGACATAGTTGCAAGCATCACATACGTTGCA